TTTGAGCAGTGTTTAAGTAATCTTGAGGATGTCCAACTGTTTATTATAACTAAATGAGGGTTATAAATTAGTGTAGACAATTAAGATTAGGACTTACAATTGAACATTAGGGTTAAGAATTAGAGTGAGAGTTTTCATCACAAATTGATACCAGCAATAGTGCCAAAATGTTATTTAGTCATATGGATAGGTGAAGTTTGCTCTAAAATCAAAATCCGAATATCTTAAATCTGATTGTCTTGTTCACAGATTATAATCTCATAGTATTTAGCCTCAGAAAAACATGTAGATTTCAACAACTTCCAATGAATACATGTAGTATTTGTACGAACTGATGATTACTTTGTACATGATTACCCGCTGATTACGAATCCCAAACATAATACGTTCGTTTGTGCTCATGTAGTTCCACTAGTCATACTTACTTACGCATGTTACTCCTCGTAGAAGAGCATAGGCCGCTCACCAGCATTGCCCATCCAACCCTGTCCTGGACAATCCTTTCCAGTTGGTATTCATCTTTTTCATATCTGCTTCTATTTCCCAACGTAATTTGTTCTTTGGCCTTCCTCTTTTCCTCTTCTCTTCAGGATTTCAAGTTAGGGCTTGTCTCGTGATGCAGTTTGGTGATTTCCGTAATGTATGTCTTATCCATTCCCATCTTCTTTTCTTAATTTCCTCTTCAGCTGGAAGCTAAATTGTTCTCTTCTACAGTAGGCTATTGCTGATGGTATCCGGTCGATGGACGTTGAGTATCTTGCATAGACAACAACTCTGCTCTTCTAGAGTTACTGCCAGTCCCAAGCCCGGGTAAAGGAGGAGAGTTGAGCATGGGGTTAGCGACCCCATTCGGTAGAAAACTAACTCGCTAAAAAACGCTAACCAGAAAAAATAATTCAAACCATTTCACTTGTTGCATTGTATCGGGAATTCTTAGCTATCGGATTAATTCAAATACTTCTAATTATCATAATTTATTACAATAAAAACTTGAAAGTAGTCTTCTGAAAATATCTGATAGGATTATTAGTAACTAATGTGAAGAAAAGTGAGCTGACTAAACCAAAGTCCCATCGATTGCATCCAATAATTGCATATTGATTGATGAAATTCGATAATCGCTAAGAACTAGATAAGAATACCGATGGCTATTAAACGGTGATCAATTGGTGTAAACACCTTAGTCTTACAACAGGTCTGTCGTGACCTGAATAGTTTAGTTGCAATATGTCTGACTGTTGTATTAGGTGACATAAGTTTGGATCCGACAAGGAGTATCGATTTATTCAAGCCTTTAGAAACACCTTTCTGTCGAATTCTAACTAGTACGGAAGATAGTTTCAGAGATTCCAGTCGATTGTCTCTAATTACATAAGATCCGTATCAATCCTCAAAACTATAAGACATTGGTTTAGAATGCAAGAAGATTAACTTAAAATCTGAGTTGGGAACTCAAGTTTTTGTACTTCAGAATATTTTGTATGGTGTGGTTAAAGGTAATAGGCGGAACATTCGACTTCTTACAACCAATTAACGTCAAAATATGGTGCTCAAGACGTTCAGTCACTTAGACTAGTGGTTAGGTTACAAATTAATCGATAAGATTCAGTCAGAACCAAGGACTCAACTACTTAGTAATCAATGAACATAAACATTGAAATTTCTATTATAAGTAAACTTACTGAAAGCTACAAAGCTACACAAAATTGGAATACATCAATTTCGAAAAGCTGACAGAGTTGATAAGAAAGTAACCGTCAGAAAACTGGTTTACTTAGGACAATCAGTTAATTATAGATGGGTTACTCAATTTCCTAATGAAATCTATCCTATTTTTAAGCTTGTGAATATTCCCATTGTTGCTATTAAGGTCTACAGTTAATCAGTCTATTTTAGCATATCGAAAGGGGTTTTGTGGAGATTTTAGTAATTTTAATAGTTGAGATCATGAGTGAGTTGAAGCTAGACCACCGTGGAAAACTCGAAGCCAGTACCTTTCGGTTCAAACACCTATCACATCATTCACTGATCTATTGAGTTCAGATAACTACGGTTTTTTCCAACAGATATATATTTTATTTGTAACTGTATGAATCCTGAAACAAAAGGTACTAGGTTCAAATCCCTCAGTGTACATAAAGACGGGAATATGGGTACATTCCATTCAAGACTCCCGACTAAGATGAAGCGCATATTCTGTTGGATGCTAACCAATCTTGACAAAAAAACACTCACTCATAAATGTATTTACTAAGATTTGTGAAATATAATACGTTGTGAAAGATGGATAGCGGCTAGCAGTGGAATCTAGGACGCGTGTTTCGTCCTATTTAAGGCTCGTCAGTTGGAGGTACCTGCGCATATACCAACATGAGGCTGATCAATTTCAGTCTTAAATAACAATGGGAAGATACAAGTAAAAAAACACCAAGTGAATATAATACGTTGTTGTTTGGTATTTTAAACATATAATCACGAGAGTAATTATCTGGTCTTCTGTTGTTCAAATTGAAGGTTTGGAAATTTCTATGACCTATCGATTGTACGACAAATCATGATAGAAGTATAGAGCATATAACACTCAAAATACTAACGATCGTGAATGTATATTCAGATTAAGTATCAAGTAAAATCATCATTCAAGTCTATCTTTCTCTGAAATCTAGTTAAGAAAGAATAGTGTAGAACATGAATGTACTAATCCATTTATTTCATCACAATTGAAATCAAAGCACATACTACAAAATCTGTGATATGACAAAATCAAACAAGAGGGATTAGTTAGTCACTATGCATAGTCGATCAGTAAATATGTATTCAAATGGTAAGTTATTGATTAACTAGTGTTAAATACCATTCAATTTATATGATACAGAAATCTAAATGTTAATCTGATAGCAAAACTAATTAATCATATAAATTTTGATGTATCCATGTAGTCACAATTGATTGATCACTGGGTGGTGATCAATATCATGTGTGTCAAGTTCTTATTTAGTGCAGATCGAATGCTATCGGCCAACACGAGATCGAATCCGCCAAGGAGCACCAGTTCCCTCAAGATTACAGGTACATCTTGCTGACGAGTGCCAAGTAGCACGAAACCCGGGTCTAGGGTTTCCTGTCGATTACCACCAACCACCATCGTATCCATGTAGTGTTTTGATTTATTTTCTAAGTCAAATAAATTCATAACAGTAGTTTTTTGTGTTTTCACTAAGCACGACAGATATAACAACAGGTTACTAAGATATATATGGAAACCAGTCACAAAACTAGTGTTCTTGGACTTGAGATGGTATCATTTTCCTATTGGTCAATACTTATTTCACGTGCCAAATGTTGTATTCAATTTTATGGTACGATGTGGTCTGCTTGATTGGTATATAAACAGAGTATGCTTGAAATACAATGATTCATATCTTAGAGGCTGAGACTTGCGTTCTGGACTCAACTGGCTGGGCTAGACAGGGAAGCGGGATCAATCAGGACTCTAGATCGTTCGTACGTGTCATTGATCCGGTCGATAATACGCTGCACTCTAATCTGCAGTCCACAAGTCACAACAGTAACTAGAGTTGAAACATCAATCCAAACTTCTAAATCCTTTCATAAAATCTTCTTACTTCAAATATACCATTTTATCGCATTATCGAGCGGTAGCTTAGTGTATGCAATACATGAATTAACTTGTTTCATTTTCCAATTAACTTAGATTGTTTGCCTTGTACTTTACTTAACAACTCATCTTAATAGTTCCTCTTTTGATAATGGTGTAGTGAAGGAGCACTTACTTACCACAAAATTACAGAGTTACTTGGTAAAATAGAAAAACCATGTAATAAATCGTTAATTTGCAAAATATCATTCCATCATATCAAACCGGACTGTTGCCGTTGCAAACATCAATCCATTGTCTCACATTTCATTGTTCATATGTTTTCTTACAAATCGCCTTGTGTTGCCGCTCTTCCTTTCTTGATCTTCCCTCATCTTCTGCTACCATATATTGCGTTTTTAACTCGTGTCATATACTACTTACATCAATATAAGTAGCACGCACCATAATGGTACTACGATAAAAATGTTTTGGTTTAAATTATTATTGATAGTTTGAAACCATATTTAGTTGTATGCTCTAGGTATAAAGACTGTTGATTATGATCTCAAATTTCTATATGATAATGAAGAATGATAAGACTGATAAGCAAAATATATAATTTTCAATTACTGAACTACCAGTTTACATCTATATGCATTTCCTTTGAACAATTGGATAATATTACCAGTGTTCATATAGACAACCGAATACATAAATCATTATTATACACTGGATTTTTTTGGTACATTCTATGATTTCCGCTTTTGATATTTCCCACTTGCCCCCCCCCCAAATGCCCTGGTACGGCCGAGAGTAGGAAGAGTCAGCTCTCTCTCTCTCTCGAAATGCTCTCACATGGCCACGTGCATACAACCGCTGACAGGGAAGTCCTACTGACTGACTTTACGCGGTAAGCGTGTTGTTTACGAAGTTGAGAGGACGAAAAGCGAATGTCCGGCGCTTTAACCAGCTTGGTGGATATGAAGGATTCACCTAGGAGGACTGGAAAACACTTATTCTAAACTAATGGTTCACATGGGCTTCATGATCCTGATGGAACGAATAGTGTATGAACCAAGTGTTGGTCATCAGCTACCATGAGAATGCATCTTCTGACGTTGCTCCACTACCTTGTGGATCAGACCTTCAGGTTGAAGGCTCCGGATGTGACCCCTAAAAGAAAACCACCTGCTTCAGTTTGGGAGTTCGAGCAGTATCACACCTTACACACTTGTGTGGTTCATATGTATCCGATGCCCCTTTGTATCAATATTTATGTGTTCAAATAAATAAATAAATAAATAAAATAACCATCTCTAGAAGATTTCCAGATGATGAAATAAACTTGATAACATCATATTGGTTCTTTAAATAGTCTTTAAGATAAAGAAACCGAATAGAATTGGGAAATCAGTGTATTTTAATAATAATAATATGTACATGTACATTAGGTGTTAATTAGTTAATAACAAGAGGTTCAAATATCAAGTTCATTTGTATTTTGTTGTTTTTCTATTTGTATACTCATCATATCAATTGTATCATCATCATCTTCTTCTTCTTCTTCACCTTCATCAACAAGTTGATTTGCTTTAGATTTGTTACCAAGAGAACAATATTGTGAAATATCTAAAATAAAACGTTCACCAGTTGGTGGACAATGAATTTCACCGGATTGAATGAACTCATCTGTAGAAGGATTTTTTTCGCAACAAAAAAAGAAAGAAAACACATACAGTAATGATATGAATGTTTTACAGAAACACAAGTGAAGTATACATATTTACAAAATTAGGATAGTGTTATGTTGTTATATTTAGTCGTCGCTGATTGCTGTGCCGGAAAAAAAACACTGATCACTTATACTCGGAAGGACGGACCTTGGTAATCCCCACGATGTGAAAGTAAGAACACAAGACTGGTATAAGTGGAGATTTATTAGCACCAAAACACTATGACGACGACGACGAATCCTAATAGTTTAAAATACACTGGTTTATATATTGATTGTACATCTATCTTGATTAATAATTAGGATTAGATCACATACTCACATACTCGATCACTATGCGCACACAGTTTTACTACCAAGACTGCAACGGAGATTTTAACGCTTACAAAGCGGAATAATATCACTCATAATTCATATAAGAGATTAGAGGTTGTTGTATTTCATAACTTTAAGGCATCATTCAACTCGATTAACCAAGAGGTTTACTGACAATGTTTGTAATTGAAAAAAAGTATTAAAGAAATATATAGACACTTTATAGACTCTCCTATTTGAAAATTACTAATTGGGTTGGAGTTAATATTGAATTGTCACTGGGATCGTTCACAGGTAGATAAAGACTATTTGAACGAAGTGTGCGCAACGACTGCGTCCGGTAGAGTTAAGAAGTATGCATCATGGTTTAGAAGCAGTCACAAACACATGGATGTATTCACTCCTTATCTTATTCTAGATCTTGAGTCCCAACATTCCTTCACATTTAGATTTTCATTCTATCTTCTCCGACCATATTCTCTCTGTTTTATCCTTTTTTTATTATCACTACTTTAATCCCTTTGTTATTCATTTTGTCATGTAGTATGACGACTGAGCTCAACATACATTTGTGCCAGGTATTACATTGATTATAAGTGATTGGCTGACAGTTCATGGATGTTTATAAGAGGTTATATAGGTCCAGATAACAATATGTAAATGATAACTTAAAATAGCTCATCAATACTTGCATCTCATCCATCATATCATGTAGCCTTGACATACCACATAGCTTGCTTGATTTTATTCGGGATATATCCATGCAGTTCTGATGTTAAAAACTGAAGTGAAACTGTTGTTAAATATGTCTTTAAGGAATCTGGGAAGTGAAATGGCTAACATAATTATATGGATTCATAATAAATTGTTCCTCTCTCTTAGTATTGAGTCTTTTTAATCGAAATAGTGAGTTTAATTTAAACAAAAGACAATGTTTATTTCATTGTATTGATTTCATGCTGTGAAGTAGTCAATTACAAGGTAAACTAGAAAGTGGAACGTATATGCCGCACCACATATCACATTCAACACTTTTAACTATTAGTTACAATAATAGCGCAGAGTTCAACCAGATAGTTTAAGCCTATCAACACAACTCTGTTCAATGATCAATGACTTCATGAACTTCATACCACATTTTACTTTACTCGCCACTAGCTTTCCTTCAATCTACTTTTACACCAGTAAACGTAGCATGTCGAAGTAGGCAGTGGTTGACGATACTTCAGTTGATGAAGGTTCATTATTTACTTCATTAGCCGAACAAATCTTGAACTAGGCCAAAATAGATGTTTATTATTTACCAACATTCATTGTCTTTAATAAGTAGGAATATTATGAAATCTATTAAATGACTCATGAAACTAGACATTTGGATATGAGAAATGTGCACAATACAGATAAATCTCTTGATGATGAATCCCACTCTTTGTGATCTCCAAAATTTTAATCTCCTGAATTCTTCATATTTATTATTTATTTATTTAAACACATAAACATTGGTACAAGGAGGCACCAAATACATATGCGCCACATAAATCATTCGATTTGTATGAGGGCTGGAATACTGCCCGGGTGCCCAGACCGAAGCAGGTGGTTTTCTTAGGGGGCCACACCCCAAGCCTTTGACCTAAAGGTCTGATCCACAAGGCAATGGAGCATTGTGAGGAGATGCAGTCCCATGGTAGCCGGTGACCAACGATTGGTTCATACGCCATTTGTTCCCGCAGGATATTGGAGCCCATATGCACCATTGGTTAGGGATACGGTTAAAGCGCCGGACATTCGCTTTTCGTCCTCTCAATTTCGTAAACAACACCCCCGCCACGAGAAGGCAGTGATCAAGCAAGACTTTAAACAATTAAATTTATCTTTTTACATCGAATACAAAACGTAAGATAAAACAATATAATCTATTCATCTCTTACTTATAATTCTAGATGACTTTTGTGATTCAATACATTCCAAATAACTACGTAAATTCTCTTCTAGTCGATTGAAATCCCATGAGAGCTAGAAGAATTAATACAAGATTTAAAGAAGTAGACTATTGATATTCAAAGAAATGAAACATATAAATTAATGAAATCCAGTACTCAGAATGTCAGTCAGTCAGTAACAACGTAGAACTTTGTACGTATGTACATCAGTTCGAGTTGCCATATCACATTAGCACAGTCAGAATGTGTAAATCATCAATAAAAAAAATACATAAACCTCTTTGTAAACTCTACAAGAATGTATACAAGATTTGTCCAATAATTACAGAGACTAACCTTTAACAGTTGTTAATGGATGTTAGAAAAATACTCAAGAAATTCTCTAAACCTAAAGATCCTCATTTTGATTTCAGATAAGGTCGTAGGTGCCCAATGCCTAGGAGCCTCGCACTACGACAAAACACCTGAGTAGTGCTTTCTGGATTTCAATAGTACTTTATAGTACATTCTCGTGAAATAAAAAGTGTGGAATAATATTGAAACTCTTGATGGATAGACAAAAAGAGACAAATTACCTGTTACATAACACGCTACAACCAACTGTGAACCACATCGCCTAAGGGTTTCTAACTATTTTTTTTCCAATAGATCAGAACTCACATGGTTTCATATCAGGAGTCAATAAAATTCATAGGCTGATCACATTAACTTCGTTTGGCCGCACCTGGCTTTTTTCAACGTATTCATTACAGTACAGTTGACATTATGTGTGGACATGGGCTGACATTAGATAAATGCAACACATATTTTAGCTACATCCGTTAATGAAGATTCATAACTTGATGAAAATTAATATCCATGCAATAGCGCACATCCTCGGTTGGTGTTGATCTCACATAACTATAGAATGAATGATATGACATCATAGGGGACTGTTATGTGAGTTTGAAAAAATGATTTTTTAATAATGATAATAGTAATAATAGTAATAATAATAATATAATGAAGTAGGTTAATACCTGACCCAAAATTATATCCAGTAATCCAATTTCAGGAACACCATCAATGGAGGTTGATTCCAGTTGAATACTATTCGAATGGATTGACATCAGTTCCATCATATCTTCACCAAATCTACCTAAATACATACATATACATGAATAAAGATTTTTCTTTAATAAGACAGTCAACTTATTGAACGCTTGACAACAAGCAAAAACTTTCCTTGATTGAAAATGGTAACTGCCTAAATCAAAGTAGAGTGGGGTTGGAAATTTAAGAGTAGTGGCTGAAAGTCAAATATCATAACCACTGGATAACCGATGTTAAAATTTATTGTGCCAAAGAGGCAGGTGTAGTGATCAGTCAGTGATCTCGAGTGTTGTTAAGGATATGAGGGCGAATGTTACTACCCGGTCGCCAAAATCGCGGAGGAATACATCCTCTTGAGTTACCTTGAGAGGGAAACTGAATTAGTTGTGGTCTTGATGATTTAAGAGAGTAACTGTTAAGCCAAAGAGACAACTGCTTAATGCAGATCACATATGGAATTTTGAGAGAGGTTCATGATGCGTTAGTTCCACATTTCAAAAGCCTTAAAACACGCGAAGGATATCTGTGACGCAGGGTGAGATATGACAACGCTGACCTCTCCTAACCCATTCATGCCATTGTGTTAAGGTGGCGTTGTTATGGATGCTAATTATATGAAGGAAACACCATACTGTTGTCACATCCTTGTACGGTCAGCAATAAGACTTCGTCTCCGGACCTAATGTTTGGTGTTTTTAGCCTTGCCGCTATTCAATCGACCTGTCAGTTATGGTTGGGCCCAAACAAACAAATATTTCAGCCAATAAAACTTGATATGTTCATCATGATAGGTAAGCCCCACTACTTCGTAAGTCAAGGCGGCAGCTACGGTTGAGATACAACGATGCAGGATACCTCAACAAGGTAAATTTATGTCGGAATCTTTTCACCAAATATTCACTTATTTATCATCATCATCCAGCAGTAAAGTTAATGTTCACTCAACAAGCAAGTTTCACGTACTACAGTTAAGAATACAAGTTAGTGCAATCATCGGTATTTCAGTTTAAATCTAATCAATAAACCGATACACCATTTTCAGGGGACATTCATTCCTTTTCTAAAATATCCATGCAAAATCAACATATCACTGGTGATAGTGATTCGTAGTATGTATGATAAACTTGTTGGCCATAATAAAATGGATATATGACAGCTTCCAGCTGATCGACCAATTCAATACTTTATGCACGCTATGAGTGAGAAGATAGTCATCGTAAAGTGAAGAGATAAGCAGGATGTGACGAGTATGTGGAACGATCGGGCGAGTGTTTGATAAAATGTGGTAAAACTGAAGTGGAATTGATGCGGACTGATTGGATGACTGGATGGAAGGACAGATGGAAATGGAAATAATTGATGTGTGTATCATATTGGGATAATGACTGGATTGAGTGTAATAAAGTTAAGGACAATGTGAATAAGTGTATTGTGTGTGCAAGGGAGGATATAGAGAATGAGAGAGCAATGAAGAGGGAGCCGCTATCTGCCAAATTGGTGCCGAGCCAATGTGGTCGCAGTCGGCTGGACAAGGCTTGGGAGTTTTCCTCTACCCAGTCGACGTGGGCGGGCCCAGTCCACCAGCCAGCTATTAACATCCTCACCCCTGGTGGCCGAATGCGCTACCTACTGCGCCGAATACTATGTTGGCCTGGCTCCATACACATACTAACATATACTGCACATCACCAACTCATATCTCGTATACATCCAACACAGGCAATAAGACACAACCGGGATTCGAAATCACTTTGAGCTATCTGATGTTACCGAGCTGCTTAGAAATTTCATTGCTGAGGGATTTCCTTCTTCTTAAGTAAGGACTTGGTAGAATACTACGCTAGGCTTTACTTTCGACCCTACCAAACCAATTACCTTGGTAAATACACATAAACTTATACAAGCAATTGGGAGTAATTTCATTGAAACCATGAACCGATCAATGTTAGACCACCACTATACTGGGGTGAAACGGCCGTCCAGTGTTTTCAGGTTCTCAATGGTGGTCTAGCATTGATTGATTCTTGATTCCAATGAAATTCAATAATCTCATCATCATCATCATCATCATGAAAACTGGAAGTAAGATAAGAAAGATACTTAACGATATTCGAGTGCTCAAAGGAACATATTGTTATTCACACTACGACTACATTGGCTGAAAGATATGCTCTTGTTAACGATGCCTATGTTTAGCCTTCTTTTAACATTCAATGGAGAATAATACCCCGGTTAACTTGTCATTCATGTTCTTTTCAGGAAAACAACTGTGGTTTAACTAAACTCACAGATTGAGTAAAGTCGATCAATAAGTTTGTTCCCCAATAGTTATCCACTTTTAATTGATAAAATATAATTAATAATAGATTGCAATGTTGGTAATAGCTCTTCATTTTGTTTGCAAATATATCACCCTCAATCCTTTTCCATCTTCATTCCTTTTGTGCATTAATTATACTACTTACTAATATTCAGTAACTCAGGCAATTGTTATTCATTTTCGAACACAGAACCTATCTCAATGTTGTTGGGTAAAAGTAAACTAGATACTGACAATCTTGAAGTGAGTTATCAGACAATCAGGAAACAGTGTTTATTTATAAAACATCGGTGAAAAGCGATAAAATCACAGTGGGATAATACTTTTGACCTAATTAATCGGATTATTATTTACAGCAAAGGAAAAAACGTTCTCATTTCAATTTGTTAGTTCATATTGTTGGATTGACAAAGCTACCTAATTTGTCGTACGTTTTTTTCAGAAGTAATTATTACGTAATCAATGTAGGAAGTACCTTTTCTCTGATTGAATCTTGACACATATGAGTACCCCACAGACCTCATGAATTGAGGTTTGTAAAATACATTTACTTATATTGCCAAAAGTAATAGTATCTTATTGCGTTTTGAATTCAGGATTTTAAGAGCTACTCAGTTGTTTGGTGAGACGATAATTTATGGGCGAACAAATCAGATTTAAGACAGGTGCTTAATTTTGGCGAGAAATTTACCCATCCATATGGTTAAGTAGCATTTTGGAATTATTGCTGATGTCAGTTTGTGACAATGAACCTTAACGTCCAACTACAAATCCTAATCTTAATTCTTCACACTAATTTAAAACCCTCATTTAACATTAGTAAGTAACTGGACATTCTTAAGGTCGCCAGGAAATTATAGTGTCACCTATTATTCCAAAAAATATTATTCAAACAATACTGCCATATATTACTTGTTCAACCTACACAGATCCGTGTCGGGTAGAGACAAGTATATACCTCAATAAAATGGAAAATGGTCGCGCGATTTCGCGAACTGGATGAGGTTAGACATTAACACCGTTGGATGCCGGCCACTTCAGTGGTCTAGAGGTTGAGCGTTCGCACGCGAAACAGACAAGTCCTAGGTTCCAATCCCATGAACGGGATCGTGGATGCGCACTGCTGAGGAGTCCCACAGTAGGACGAAACGGCCGTCCAGTGCTTCCAGGTTTTCATTGGTGGTCTAACATCAATCGGTTCATGATCTCAATTAAAACTACATAGATCCATCAAGAAGCTTGATAATACAATACAACAAACAGTGAAAACTGTTTAAAAACAACATCATATTTGAAATTATGTCACAAGAAAGATGAAAATTCTTACCATTTTTTATTGTCGGTAGTCTTTCTTTTAAAATATGTCGTAATTTTGTCACCTGACTTTCCCAACTTTGATGAGCGACAACAGTATCATATTCACCCCAATGGTAGTGACCTTGACTTATACGTTGGATAAGTGCTGATCCACCAGCATCATAAGCACCAGCAGTTAAATATGCCTCACGATCATCTGAATTCTGATAATAGTAGTAACAGTAATAGTAATAATAATAATTGTGTACAATTAAAAATCATGTATTTAGTCAAGAAACAAACCGACAATGTCAATTTATAAATGATGTTTCATTACAATTTGAGATTTTTTGGGTAATCATTGAGAAAGAATAGGATAAACAGCATTAGACTCCTGTTTCTTCTTAATATAGGACATTCATGACTTTGTCAGTTTATGATGTGAACTACAGATATTACAACAATATGATTGGTGAAGTAATCAAACAATGAAATGGAATGATGTAAATAACAAACAAACAAAATAGAAGGGTGTTAACCACTAAAATGGATTGGAAAAGATAATCGTGGAACTGACCTACTAACATAATATCCGATGAAAGAAGTGACAGTAATTATGTAATATATTGATAGTGTATGCAGTGAATGTGATGGTACAAACTCTATTTCGTTTATTTATTTAAACACGTAAACATTGGTACAAGAAAGTACCAAATATTTATGCGCCACACTTCGTCATTCGACTTGTGTAAGGGTTGAAATATTGCTCGGGAGCCCAAACCGAAACAGGTGGTTTTCTTAGGGGGTCAAACACCCGGAGCCTTTCATCCCGAGGTCTAATCCACAAGTCAGTTGAGCAACGTTAGGAGATGCAGTCCCATGGTAGCCGATCACCAAAAATAAGTTTATACGCCATTTGTTCCCTCAGGATTCTGAAGACCATGTGCAAAATAGGTTCGGAGTCAGTGTTTTCCAACCCCCCTAGGTGAGTCCATCAACCTGGTAAGATCTCCGGATATTCGCTTTTTTTCCTCTCAATTTTGTAAACAACACCCTCACCACGAGAAGGCACTGAGCAGGACTTCCCTAGGAGTGGCTGTATACGAGTGGCCATGTGAGAGGACCTCGAGAGGAAGAGCTGATTCTCCCCACGGTCGGAGGTATCAGGATATTTAGGGGCTCTAGTTGAGATCAAATACAAGATTGTTACTAGCCAAGAGAGTAGATTATTCAACAAATAAACGATTGGAGCACAAAGCAACCATAATTAGTTCAACCTCCAACTAAATTAACACCTAACTAACAAACTTAGTTCATACTCCCCCCTGGTTTTTATCAACACAAAAGTTACTTTTATATGTGAGTTTCTCCTTTAACTTACTTGACATATGACCAATACTCGACGAGCAGGCATAAAATCTAATATATTTGGTAGAACGAGATTACTTTCAAATTTCGGTATGAACCTTGTCTTCTTCTTTGTACACATATTGAGCGTAACCTGTGTGTGTGAACCCCATGAAATACAGAAAACAAAACAACCATAAAATTCACAAATTCAAATGGGTAAACTTATTGGATCGTTAGTGTATAATAAGGAAGTAATGTAACTCAGTTACCAAAGGTAGAGGTTTCCTAAGGTATAACTAACTTTGAATTATGATATTTACATGTGATCACATCTAGAGTGATATGAATTGGTTGCTTAAACACTGATGTATGTGGAATGTAGATTCGCACCTACCTAATAAAACTGATGTTGAAGGGTGAGTTGACTTAAGCACTTATCTACCATCATACCATGAATAGTGAGAGTAAAAATAGAACTATATTAAAGGTCTACATATATTTTTAAATTGGGTACACAGTTTATGCTCATTCGGGATATTTTAACAACATGCCAACCTATGAAGTTCACAAAAGATGCTGATTATAGAAAGTGAATTCGACTAGGAAAACATAGTCCTATTGAGAAAACGATGATATTCCAAAATACAGCTGCCTCTAGTTCCGATGACTATTATTGTGAGAACAATGATGGAACACATAAATGCCCAATAAATAAGCGAACGATTCTTATAAGGTTGTTCATGAAACTAGGGAAAAACGGTCAGGAAATTTGTGAAATGTTTACGATTGTATATGCAGATAACATGCAGAAGAAAACGACTCTCTTCAAGTAAATCTTTGTCAAGGAGACCTAATTGATAAAGTATTCCTCGAATAATAAAGGGGAGAAAACCATGATTATTATAAACATTCTTAGTATGCATTAATTCATTCATTTATTGTGTTTTCATGGTCTGTGATTATTATTACTTCCTACTTATAAATACTAATCCAATTAACAGCTTTTTTGACATCCAAAGTTCTAGCTTGTGTAACATTTTTAAATCCTGAATAGTCTCGTAGGCACTGGGGATTTGGTGTCTAACGAAATATTGCATAGATTTGCCTAGGTGAGACGTCCGTATGTAAACCAAAGAACTGATTTACAACCCACTCCGTTATACTCTATGAATGAGACATAGCCATTCAAAATGGGTGAAAGTAACAGTTCATCGATGCATGATCACGGGTGCCTTCGAAACATTTCTCGTGTATTTCGGGAACATCGGGTAAGTAATGTCGAGGTTAAGCATAATGTACTAGGCAAATATGGTAAGTCGGTTGATGATGTAGTGGATCTTCACCAACTGGGGTGGTTAGAGCGTTTGTTGAGCATGCCAAACCGGTGTAGGATTACGCTGGAAGAAAGCTTAGGGAGGACAAAACAAGGAGAAGTATCAACCCATAAATTTAGTGACTACTAAACTGAGCCATGTTAACAGGTACAGACTACGTGTCTGGGGTCTGCGCGATTCTCATTGAGTGATGTGACTCAGAATCGTTCGCAATGAAACAGCTACATTAACTCTATATCTACCCTTAGATTCCGAGTTGCGGAAATTTCTCATACTTCTTCTTTCTATAAGTAATATTTTTCACTGTTATTGATATCGGAAGTGTTAATACCACTTCTGATAATCTATTATTTATTTTGATAATTTCCCCTCTGTACTAATGTGGTGTAGCAACTGGAACTAATGCATATATATGCCATATTCTACGTTGTATATGACTGACTGAAGGAATTTCTAAAGCAGTTATTTATTGGTTCTGTAATATGAAATCATTTAGCGTTACCAGTGCAACTTTGAGTAGACAGTAAGTAACTTAACATAGAACTTTGAAAAGTTTTGCTATTGATGTATTGTTTGTTGAAGACTGAAATGGTGACTGGTTTACTAGGAGTGGAAACTTCAAAATAATTTGGAAAATAATCGGCTCCTTATAGAATAAAACGTGAGTACAAAAATACATATACCTCACAGAAAGACAAAAATTGTATGTACATATATCAGGATGAAAGAGTTCTAACACCGTACACTGAAGCCATTGAAGTACCTAGTTTTATATGTAATATAATGTATGTGGAAGTTACTAAGGTATAAACCTGATAGTATGATGAGAACTAAAAAACCCCTTGGTATTTCGCAGATTATGCAAGATGTGCTATGAAATAACGTGTAATGAAAAATTAGGACCCTTTAAATGAAATGATAACAATGAATATGTGATCATTGCTCTATAAAAAGACAAAACCACTCCCGCCAAAGTTTGTTTCCGTATAAATTATGCAAAAGATTGTAAGTCAATACTTCAGTGTAATCAAATTAAGTTCATTCAAACCCCAGGTACCTGTATATGAGGTACACTTTAAGTGCAAGGGCTAATGACTCTACCCGGTTTCCCAAATCGAAGTCGATGGAGGGAAATTTGAACCTATAACTTAGTGACAGACAGTCGAACACCCAAATCACTGAGTCACTATTCGGGATGAACTCAACAACAGACTTCTTATTAAATGTATAGACAGATTCGATTAATATAAAATATACTTTCATGTATTTATTAGTCAATCAGTTACAAGAAATTTTAAAACTCATTAAGACTTAATGAAAAGAAATTCACATTCTAAATTATACTAACATATATAAGTGATTAGGTTAAAAAAGCTTCGCCTAACTACAGACTTTACTGATAAAATATGTTATGTGAAGAGAAGTATTTTTTTTATGGTTCAAATGATCTTGAAGGCCGGATGAGAAGTGAATTTAGGTACAAAATAGCGGGACCTAGATAGTCTAGTTGAAACACTGGATACACAAAACCAGACAGTTAGTCGGTCTCTACGACTACACTAACTAGTTAGCATTGTAGATGAAAATATGGTCTAGATGTTGAAATCCAAGCTATGAAGATAACTTGACACATACCTAGTCCCAAGTTTTAGTTTTGTAACACAATAAGTGGTCTACGCACAATAATATTCATAGCTCTGAAAAGAATTCTGACGTAACTTAGAATACAGAAAGGTTGCAAAAACGTCATACCTTAACTCGAACTGGATTATCCATACAATCATACATATCCGGCTGGGCACTTTCACGCAGTAGCTCAACAGCTTCTGACAAACTGTATTTTTTCGGCTCAAATTCAGATATTAAGTAAGTATCGGAAGTTGGAATTCGACCTTTCAAAATATTTAATTGAGCCATTTCCTGCTCCCACTTCGTCCTATTTGTTTTCATCAATAGTTCACGAGCAGCATCCCGTCTACTCTTCGACTTTTCATTTACAGTTACTTTAGCCTCACGATATCTTTGCTGCTGGTGTTTGAATAATTGTGATGAAGTCGAAAAATTGCGAAATGAACTGGAGATTAGAGTCGGTTGAATATGTGCATAACTGTAACAAATTACTTTGCGAAATTGCATTGAACCTTTTCTAGAAAATACACAGCATCAAGGATGATAGTAATTCATGAGAAACTGTTAGCCAAGAGAAAATTTATAATCCAGTGACTTGACAGTAATTTTTATTCAAAGCAGTCTAATGGTGAAGCTTCTTCTCTGTGCTATACATCTTCACCCCTCTATTAAAAACAGCCTAATCTATTGTTTTGAATTGTATACATGGATTAAGTAACTGATCAATTTATGCCAAGTATTGTGCATTCTAATTTATTCCAGTACTAATATTGACAAAATAAGTAAGGAAGACATAAACTCAGTCTACTTTTCAGATAGTTTCGATTTAATAGTGGTGTATGTTGGTCTTTCTTTAATTATAACAAGTAACTAGCCTAGCGCTTTACCCTAGTTACAAAAACCCATTTCCTTTGATGTGCAAAATGATCGAACACAACTGACAAAACGAATGAACGGCAGCTGAGGATGATGCTCGAGTGAAGTAATGAAATGTTATAAAATTAAGGAAAAATAGATTGAATTCTATTTTCTGAAAGATCAGAGATGCTTTAATCCAGCCGATACAAGTTAGATACAAAAAATTACTCATAGAACACTACTAAGAGCTACAGAACGGTAAAAACAACTAGGAACAGTAGTCTCGAGAAGGCAATACACCGTAACGAGCAGGGCAAATTAGCCGCTTCAGGCTCCAGTTACAAGGATAGTAGGTCGCTGAACTTATGTTGTTCCTTGAAGCTTATTTCCCAGTGAAGACCCGACTTGTTCTTAAAGATGTTCACTGATGGGGCCGAACTCACTTGTTTGTGTATGCTATTTCAGTTACTGGTCATTCGATGAATCTCACACAGAATTCCATAGTTCAATATCTTTGTCATGAGCTTGTATAAACCAATTGATTTCTTTGCTTTCATTTCTTTTTGTTTTGGTGCGGTTCAAGGTATTTGATTAAGTGCAACTGGGGGCGGTCTAAACACTTTACTGTGTTGATTTTAGTCAGTTCGTATAACTTGTAGTTTCAGTGAATGTTTTCAAATGGTTCAAACGGTTGTGAACGGAATAGAAGAAGCTTTCGCTCTGTACTTGGTCTAAGAGATCTCTTTGGAAGAGAGGGGGTGGATCGACGCTATTAACTTGAAAGTGGGGGGCATGGGTACGTTTCGAACGGTTTTAGGAACAAATTTATGATGATTGAGCCAAGTTGTTTTCCCATAATATCAAGTGTTGAGTTTACTTTGGCTTCATCGACTCTCCGAGGTTGCAAGCCAAAATCACTCTCTGAAGAGACGATCGAAAGCGGATTTCATTGAGGGTGTAATTGATTAGTTAAATAAGGCAGAATTCTCATGACACGACACTTCAGCAGGTTCATTTGTAACCAATTGTTTACTGAATATTCATCGATCGTTTTAGTGGGTGTTTCGAAGCTCAAGTATATCCTCTTTGCCTTGTGTGAATCCTCAGATCTTTACATTGACTCCGTACGTCGTTGTCACCGAGCTAATTTTAAAGATCAAGAACAACAGTGGGTCTAAGTTTGTTCTTTGTGAAACTCCTGATGTTGGGACCTTCCGTTTACTTTGACATGAAACATCCCATTTTCTAGGTATTTTGTGAGCCTAAATAAAAGCATCTTTGAGACATTTGCTACAAAAATTACATAAGATACTGTTTCAAGGGCCTTTTGCGAAATCGAGGACTATTACATGAATCGGTATCTCAAATTGCTTAATGATAAATTTGCACCTGAAATGCCCTTATTTTTCTTATCTTCCAAAACAGAGAATTTACGAGGACACTCCAAAAAAGTTCACAAGCCCAGAACAAATTACTTGTCAGCTGACTATCGACTTTCCCATCGAGTCATCGAGTGGAATTCATTACCTCAGCACGTGGTTGAGGCTCCATCCGTCGACTCTTTCGAAAGAAAGTTGGATCAACTGAGAGATCACAATTGCCAGGCCATCAAGCCTCCTGTCCTTTCCAAACTTCAGTCTCCACTACTCAGTAATAAGGATAGTAGGTTGATGAACCTGTGTTAATCCTGACAGATTTCCTACCAGTGAAGGTCCAGCTTCTCCTTGAAAATATTCACTGATAGGGATGATACCACTTGTTCAAGTAAGGCGTTCCAATCACTGACTACCCGATGAGAAAAAAGGGACCCCACTTTAAGTTTCTTAGATCGCGGTTTATGAACCTTCTTACTATGACCTCGGAGATTATTAGCGCTGTAGTGAACACAAAGATAAGACATATTAACACCCAAATCATAAGTAAAGATACGAGGTCACCTCGCATCCTACGATACGACAAGGGGAAAAGGTTTGAGCATTTTAAACGCTCACCGCAAGGGAGTTTAGAAAGACTTTTCACTAATTTCGTTTCCACACGCTGGACACACTCAAGTGAGTTAGTATCCTTTACCAGACACGGGGTTGCGGCTTGGATACACTACTCTAAATGTGGTCTTGTAACAGCTTAGGTTGGTTGGTTAAGAGTTGACCTCAAACAACCAGGCATATGCCAAAACAGTGTAGATCAAGTATTCATTCACTTCTTTATTTTGTATATGCGTTATATTTCCTATTATCTTATATTGAATGTTGAGAGGCTTTGTTTGTCTGAACAAATAATCTCACTCTCCACTGTGACTACGCGAAGATCTAAATAAAGACCTATTCACTACTTGTCTGGCTTCTTCTATCAATAACACGAAGGTTACCTATAGGCACGAAAGTCTTACATAGGTGGGATATAAAATTCGAAACATTTCCTCGTCAAAAGAGTCGAACGCTCGGCGAAGTGACCATAATGCACGAAAACCTCTGACAGCGACTGCGTTGCAATGCGTAGTTGTTTTTAAATCATGACTTATTACTACTCCTAAGTCTTTATGTTCTTGAGCACATGGAAGAGGTTTACCCTCAATAGTATAACGGTAACTATTACCGTGACCGATGTGCATTAGCACACTGTTCCTAGAATTGATTTCTAAGCCCCATCCTCGAGCCAATCTAACTAAGTCGTCTAAGTCAGCTTGAAGATCCAGATGATCAGCCTCACTTTCTATTGTTCTCCAGATTTTTACGTCATCCGCAAACAATAATGTCGACGACCTAAGCAACAGCGGTAACTCATTAACGTAGAAAAGGAAGAGCAGAGGGCCTAGGATAGTGTCATGGGGTGCACCACTTTTGACTGGCTTCCAATCGGATAGCATTCCGTTGACCCTCACTCTCTGTCTGCGGTCACATAAGAAGTTTCCTATCCACTTACGTACATTACCTATTATTCCGAAGCTCTTGAGCTTCTGCATCAGACCTACGTGTGAAACCTCGTCAAATGCTTTGCTAAAATCTATGAATATCATATCGACAGACAGACCGTTATCTAGGGCTGCTGTCCAATCCTCCCTCGCAATAAGTAAGTTAGTCATGCATGAACGCTTGTTACGAAATCCGCGTTGCTCAGAAGCTAACAGATTGTGCGAATTTATGTGGCTTAACAACCTAACCCGAGTTATCTTTTCAAGTAACCTAACGACTATGCTGGTTAGACTGACAGGTCAGTAGTTAGATACGATCTGTCTCTGATCATCCTCAAATATAAGACTGACTGTAGCATCTTTCCAATCTCTAGAGAGTTGAGTGAGGGAAAGTGACATGTTGAAGAGTGTTGCAAGCGGTTTTGAAATAATGTCCTCAAGAGATGACAGCAGCCGCGGATGCAAACCCTCAGAGCCCGGTATCTTACAAGGTTTGAGGTTAGTTATCAACGGAAGGACAGTTTCCTTAGTCACCTGTACAGATTCAATGACTGGTATCTCGGTGTGAGTGGGACAAGTATTTGTTACAATAAACGTAGAGTATACTTCGCTAAAATAGTCTGAAAAAGTCTTAGCTTTTGCCCAATCTGATTCAGCTAGTAAATCTGAGTTTTAGTGTAACAGTAACGGGAGAATACCATCATTACGTTTCATTCGCCGTTAAACATACGAAGACAGTCGTTTCGAACAAGTCCGGCCGTCATATACCAGCTGTCGTTCGTAAGTAGTACGGGATTTAGCTGTAGTTTTCTAACAGATATTACAGAATTTTCAGGACTCACGCTTAAATTATGCATGACCTGTCAACAAGAATAAGTCCCAGAGGTGTGCCCTACGCTTTAACAGATTCCGGGTTTCCTTATTAATCCATGGAGGGCAATGTGATAACTTACGTGCTGACCATGGGATAAACGGCGACGTTACGGACTTGAATGTAGCCTTAAACATATTCCATTCATATTTGATCGATCCATCGGCGTCGACCGACCAGTTAGTCGAGATAGCACAGTTTCTGATTGCCGGAATATTAGCTCGCTAGATAGTAGGAGGGGGTGGAGCAGATACGAATCGTATACCATGTGTCCTAAACTCAAAGTGAGGTACAACGTGACCGCTGTTCACTAGTGGGGGAAGGTGCTGAATATCAAAGACATCCTCTCAGTCGTGGGTCAGGGCGAGGTCCAGCAGTGACGGATCATGACTGAAATCAATATGTGTCGGTTTTGTGATACATTGTACAAGTGCACACTGAATAACGGTAGATAAAAAGTCGCTATCGAAACCACTACCTGGAGCTGTAAGCTCTATCCAGTTGATATGCGGTGCATTGAAGTCCCCAATGATGAGACAACATTCTGCCATACTCCAAGAACAGATGTGTCTTAGGGTAAAGTTGTCAGCAAGACAAAACGGACTACGGTATATTCCCCCTATAGTCACTAACCCATTTCTAGATTTAATCTTACACCATGCAACCTCACATAAGCCACTGATATGAGCCTCCGATATTGTTGATTGTATACGAAAGTGATCCCTAACGTATAATATTATACCCCCCTTTGCGACTTGAAACTCTATCACTTCTAATACAGATATAGCCTGCAATGATGGGAGAACAGTCTATATCACGGCGAACCAAGTTTCTGTAACAACGATTATACCGGGACAAAATTCTTCC